GGGCGACGCACGACGGAAAATGGCATGTTTGGAACTGGTAAATGGCAGAATTGGGACACAACAAAAAGCAAAATGCGACAGACGACGGGCGACGGCAGATATGGAATTCCATACGAGGGACACGGGGGTGTCTCCCCCGGCAATCGGTGCGGACATAGCGGTGACGGGCCGCTACGACTCTCGCTAGCACCTTGGGCTAGTTCGTATCGCATCGGTCCAAGCTAAGCTAGCTGGCCATTCATATTGTAGCGCCGGCGGGTCCGGCCGGTGGGGGCGCCAGCCCGGACCCGCATGGAATTGGCTGGCTGCCCGCACTGGTATGCAAACGGCCCGCGGTTTTCCCGCCTCGCGCCTGCGCAGTCCCTGCCGACAGGCGCCATGCTAGAGCTTGTCGGAAGAGCACATTGTGGTGTACGTGACAGCAATAAAACAGAGGTTTCGTGACCAAAACAGTGAGTTGCGCCTGAGTGCCATTCTTTACCAGCGTCGAGCCCTGTTCAGCGGGACACGCTACAACTGGTGGCAGCGGTGGGATGCTGGATAGCTGTAACAAAAACAGGTAAACTCTTCGCCTTTTCTGTGTCATGGAATTGGTGGATGATTTTGGTCGGGTGCCGGACTCGATAGACAGTGGCAGCACAGGCCAACCAGGGGCCCCGTGGTCGGGGGCCCAGACTGCGAAGGCGACGTGGAACTCACCTGGGTTGGCGGGCGAGCTGGAGTCGTTCCTCGCGGAGAATCTGGAACAGTTATCCAGGAGCGGGGGGTGGAAATTGGAGGGTATCGAGTTCATCGAGTGCGAATTGATGGGAGCTAGCGCGCCCGTGGCAGATTTTCGGACGCCCTCGAGCGCCGTGGACGTGGCTGGCGTGGCGTACCGCCTGGAGCGCAGTGAGGCCACGGTCCTTGGGAGGGGGTTTCGAAACGGGCCAGCTGGAGCGTGTGAGAAAAATAGTGAGATGCGGACACCCCCGCGCGGCAAAACTGCGACGGGTGGTGCGATTCGGGCGGACCCCCGCGCGGGGATTGGCATGCATCTGTATGAGGCGGATCCCCACTCGGGGACCCGCACGTGTCTATGCGAGGCAGATCCCCCTCAGATCCGCTCACAAACTCATGAGGCGGATCCCCATTCGGGGATCCGCATGTGTCTGTGCGAGGGGGATCCTCCTCGGATCCACGCACAGACACATGAGGCGGATCCCCACCCGTGGGTCCGCACACATCTGTATGAAGCGGATCCCCCTAGGGTCCGCGTACAAACTCATGAGGCGGATCCCCACTTGGGGATCTGCACGTGTCTGTGTGAGGTGGATCCCCCTCGGACCCACACATAGGCACATGAGGCGGGTCCCCCCGGATCCGCACGCACTTCCGGACCGGTATGACGGAAGCTCGTCCTGGGCGGATTACCACACGCACTTTGAGAGTGTGGCCACCGTCAATAAATGAAGCAAGGCCGAGAAGGCGGAGTACTTGGCCTCCCATCTGCGTGGACTGGCCCAGGAGGCATTCACCGACTTGTCGCCGGAGGCCCGGAGGGACTACGTGAGCGTCCTTGAACACCTCGAGCGGCGGTTTGGAGTTGCTTCGCAGGTGCCGCTCCATCGGGCTCAACTTTCCATGCGGGTGCGCGGTCGGGGAGAGTCTCTAGAGGAACTGGGGAGGTCCGTCCGACGGTTAGTCCTCCGGAGTTACCCCACCTTGCCCACACAGGCGCGAGAAGATCTGGCGGTGGAGGCCTTCCGGAACGCCCTGGGGGACGAACAATTGCAGCGCCATGTCTTCGCCAGGAAGGCCACGACCCTGGCAGAGGCGATTACCCTGGCCACTGAGATGGCGGCCTTTTTGGAGTCCCAGGCCTATCAGCGGAAGGCTAGGATCGAGGCCAAGGAGGCCCGAGTGGTCGAGGAACCCTCCGCAGGTACGCCAGGCAAGGCGGGGGCAGCGGGTGGAGACCCACCCTTGTCGGGCGCCCCCTCGCGGGTCCGGTGCTACGGGTGCCGCGAGTATGGACATTTCCGCCGGGATTGCCCGCGTGGGAAGGGCGGCGCCGTCCAGGGCCGGCCCCTCCGGCGGATTCGGACCCCCGCGGAGCCGGCTGCCGGAGGCGGAGGACGAGTTCCTGGTTGCGACAGCCGACATGGACGGAGAGGAGGATGACTCGATTTTGGACGGGTTTCC